TATCGATGTTCACAGGAAGTTCGGGCGGGCTCACTTTTGGCTCCAAAGGTTCAGGTCGCACTTCTGCCTCACAAGGTTGAGGTGCACGTGGATCCTCCCGGTGAGCACCAGCCGGTGCCTGAGCAAGGCAATGCTGGGTGGCCCAAACCAGTGCCTGGCACACATCATCCCCAGCCGCCTCCAACCAGTATTCCGCTGAATCCTGGAACCCGGCATCTCGAAGAATCCTCAACTTTTGAAGGTAGGGCAGCGACTTCAAAGCACTGTCCTTCTCAATCTCGTCACTGGGCTGGGGCAGGCGCTCTTCATCCATCAAGCGGTCAGCCTGTGCTGCAGCAAGCGCTTCTGGGAGGTGTCCCGCAATCACATCAGGATCAGGTCCATGGGTTTGGCACAGGTCAAAGACAATCAAGGTCTCAGACCAAACTGCGGGTGGCAAGTCTTGAGGTCGGTTCTCGATCATCTCTTCCTTTGAAGTCCATGTCTGGCAAAACTCTATGCAATCCTCTAACGTGAACTCACCCTCTGGACATTCAGCCTCATCATCGATCTGAACAGGTTCTTCGGGTTCTCCTTTCGTAGTCTGTGGGTTCTCCTGGATGGATAGAATTGGGTGAAAGAATTGGTTAGCCGCACAGGTGTTTAAAATCAACCGCATTTACGAGTTCATGCCCATGTGTCCTGAACTGGCTGGTTGTTAACTCCTTCGGCTTCGCTTTGGGAGTCCAAAACCATGATGTCGTCCTCACCTGCAGTGAGTCTAATTTGTAATCAGAAGATCGAAAATACCAAAGGTGATGTGGATGTATTAGATAGAGATAGAGATAGAGATAAATACAGAGATAGACAGAAAGACAGAAAGACAGAAAGACAGAAAGACAGAAAGAGAGAAAGAGAGAAAGATAGAAAGATAGAAAGAAAGAAAGAAAGATAGATAGATAGATAGACAAATAGACAGATAGACGGATAGACAGATAGATTGATAGATTGATCGGTTGGTGGATAAATTGATAGGTTGATAGGGTGACAGATTGATAGGTTGATTGATTGAAAGACTGATAGATTGATAGATTGATTGATTAAAACTAGTTTGATAGGTTCAAAGACTGATAGTTATAAATAGAAAGAAAGAAAGAAAGATATAGACAATTAAATATAGATATATAGATAGATTGGTTGATTTAAAGATTGATAGGTTGATAGATTCAAAGATTGATAGTTAGGAAGAAAGAAAGATAGATCGATAGATGGACAGATCGATAGATGGACAGGTCGATAGATGGACAGATCGATCGATAGATAGATAGATTGATAGATTGATAGATAGATAGAGGGAGTGAGAGAGAGAGGAAGAGAGAGAGAGAGAGAGATTTATATATATATATATATAGATATGTAAGTATTCTATATAACGCGCGGGTCGATGCTATAATCTTCTTAGCAGGACTAAACCTCGCACCAGCCAGAATGCCCGGGTGGCCAGGCCTTTCTTGCCTTTTCTCTTCCCGCGACAGGTCGTTCGAAACCGGCGGGGGTTGGGCTTGAGAATGGCGGCTAATTGGGACGCAACAGAGGTTTTTGTTTTGCGATCCAAAGCTTTGCGCCAATATCGGCGACCATATGAGAGAAGGGCTTGGACGATATAGCTTTCCTTCTCAATGCATGGTCGAAAGACAAAGATTAACTATATGAATCATATTTAATATGGTCTGAAAAAACAAAGAAACCAAGTTAGCCGGGGGTCATTCTGTGCCCACTGCCGCTGCTCTTTCTTTGTCTTCCCCTTGCTCAAATTGAAACAGTTTTCCTTGTCCATTGAGCTGAACACATTTTCGATGTGGTGGCCAGAGAATTCCCCTTAGTATCATGTCCATGAAATTGGATAAGACACATTGATGAATGAAGTCAAAAAATGTTTCTTCATGGTCTTTGTACCGGCTGCACACCAAGTTACCCTCAGGGCTGACCTGAAAAAAACCCAGGATCAAGGGGAGGTAGGTTTCCAAATCTGGATATCCGATAGTGAACGATGACACATCCGGAAACAAGGTGTTGTCCGGCCGCTTTGCATTCGCGCACTGGACGAATGAATCAACTGGAAGATGTAGTTTGACCACACCTCACATGATAGACGTGAACAATCGCCAAAACAGTCTACACCATTAAACCATCCATCGATTTTCATCCAAAAAGTCCCATGAGTTGACAAGGGGCGTTCATACTGCTGTTCGATGCCAGACAATGGAGCTAAAGATGCCATTGCGGGAACCCTATCCCTTGGAACCTTGAGCCTACATAGTACAGCAAGGATTATGATAGAAGAAACACCGTGGTCGTAAACATAATGATGATCATAGCCAAATCTTTGACTGATGGTGCCAATGTACCAGCAACACGCCACGCCCAAAGCAGCACACAGTCCTCTCTTGCAATGCCGGCGAGGCATTGAAGTCCGAGCAACGCTGCATGACGGGCAGCGTACCAAACCACTGCTGCTGCAAATGGCAAAAGGGAAGCACCCGCCGCGCCGGGATTTGATAGACCAAGACAAGGTGAAAAATGGGAGATTTTATATTGACATGTTCTGAACCTATCCTCCAACAACATCAAATACACATATTTACGATAGTAAGGCTTTTCCAGATCTGTTATTCATGGCCATGCACATTTGCTTGAGGATGCTTGTGTGATCCAATGGTAGCCATTAATCTATCCTATAGCCCCATTTGTTGGGCCTCTTGGGCCCTCGCGGTACCTCGGCTTGAAAGTCACCAGGTCCCCGACCCCTCCACATGAGGGTCCCAGGTGGCAGGTGTCTCGTAGAGAGGGTCCGGCCCCTGCTGGTGAGAACCCTAAGATTCTTAGGGCAGGATGTTTCCGGGAATCCGACTGTTTGAGTAAGCGGGAGACAGAACCCGAGGACGACCTCACCAAAGACAAGAGAGAAGTCAGGCGTAGAGGTAAGGCGTATGTAGCATCAAGTTCGTGGACAAGGGCAAGTGAAGAAGTGAAGAGACCAAAGCGAACTTCCGCGTAGTGAGTCATAGGCAAGAACAAGGAGAAGGATGCGGGACGCGAAGCCTATCACAAAAGAACTCGCTTTTTGGAGGATTTAGGCTGCAAACCCTGGATTTCTGAGTCCTTTTCATTCGACACAGGATGTTTCCGGGAATCCGACTGTTTGAGTAAGCGGGAGACAGAACCCGAGGACGACCTCACCAAAGACAAGAGAGAAGTCAGGCGTAGAGGTAAGGCGTATGTAGCATCAAGTTCGTGGACAAGGGCAAGTGAAGAAGTGAAGAGACCAAAGCGAACTTCCGCGTAGTGAGTCATAGGCAAGAACAAGGAGAAGGATGCGGGACGCGAAGCCTATCACAAAAGAACTCGCTTTTTGGAGGATTTAGGCTGCAAACCCTGGATTTCTGAGTCCTTTTCATTCGACACAGGATGTTTCCGGGAATCCGACTGTTTGAGTAAGCGGGAGACAGAACCCGAGGACGACCTCACCAAAGACAAGAGAGAAGTCAGGCGTAGAGGTAAGGCGTATGTAGCATCAAGTTCGTGGACAAGGGCAAGTGAAGAAGTGAAGAGACCAAAGCGAACTTCCGCGTAGTGAGTCATAGGCAAGAACAAGGAGAAGGATGCGGGACGCGAAGCCTATCACAAAAGAACTCGCTTTTTGGAGGATTTAGGCTGCAAACCCTGGATTTCTGAGTCCTTTTCATTCGACACAGGATGTTTCCGGGAATCCGACTGTTTGAGTAAGCGGGAGACAGAACCCGAGGACGACCTCACCAAAGACAAGAGAGAAGTCAGGCGTAGAGGTAAGGCGTATGTAGCATCAAGTTCGTGGACAAGGGCAAGTGAAGAAGTGAAGAGACCAAAGCGAACTTCCGCGTAGTGAGTCATAGGCAAGAACAAGGAGAAGGATGCGGGACGCGAAGCCTATCACAAAAGAACTCGCTTTTTGGAGGATTTAGGCTGCAAACCCTGGATTTCTGAGTCCTTTTCATTCGACACAGGATGTTTCCGGGAATCCGACTGTTTGAGTAAGCGGGAGACAGAACCCGAGGACGACCTCACCAAAGACAAGAGAGAAGTCAGGCGTAGAGGTAAGGCGTATGTAGCATCAAGTTCGTGGACAAGGGCAAGTGAAGAAGTGAAGAGACCAAAGCGAACTTCCGCGTAGTGAGTCATAGGCAAGAACAAGGAGAAGGATGCGGGACGCGAAGCCTATCACAAAAGAACTCGCTTTTTGGAGGATTTAGGCTGCAAACCCTGGATTTCTGAGTCCTTTTCATTCGACACAGGATGTTTCCGGGAATCCGACTGTTTGAGTAAGCGGGAGACAGAACCCGAGGACGACCTCACCAAAGACAAGAGAGAAGTCAGGCGTAGAGGTAAGGCGTATGTAGCATCAAGTTCGTGGACAAGGGCAAGTGAAGAAGTGAAGAGACCAAAGCGAACTTCCGCGTAGTGAGTCATAGGCAAGAACAAGGAGAAGGATGCGGGACGCGAAGCCTATCACAAAAGAACTCGCTTTTTGGAGGATTTAGGCTGCAAACCCTGGATTTCTGAGTCCTTTTCATTCGACGCTGAAGCCTACCACAACCCTAGATGTCTCAGGCGTTAGTAACAGGACACACAGAACATGAGTTGCCCGGGCCTTGTCCATGGAGTGCAACTTGCCGAACACCAGCCAAAGATGGCTGCAAAAGAAAGGAAAGCAAAAGAAAGGAAACATACAATCTTCCAAGGAACATGCCATCTAGACTGGAACAAGAACCCCATAGTCGGGGTTAAAGACCCCTAAGCGTGGTTAAGACAAAGTGGTCGGAGTTAAGACTCCTTAGTCGGAGTTAAGAACCTGTATGGGCATGACACCATTTGGGACGAGTCTACACCACAATGAAATGCTTGGCAAAATCCGAGGTGATATACGCTACAGCAATACAAACCATCATCAAAAGGGCAGCCCATTCTACCGTCTGATGGACACGCTAAATGAGATTGGCCTCCATGTGCTGGAGATTGCTGGAGATTGCTCGAGCAATCTCGAACATCCATGTTTTCATGCAGTGTGCGCATGTTTGCGCCTTGCATCCGGTGCAATTTCCGAAGAACTCTTGGAGCCACTGGATTGGGTCGTATGCCTAAGTTGTCGTTCGAAAGGCAAGGCTTCGAACAACAGACTCCCAACTCCCAACTCCCAACCACTTTGATTATCTCTGCTCTCATTTTTGTGTTTTATTTTTAATATGTTTAGTTTTAATACTATCTGTACTTGGTCCACGGTCCACCCCTTTGGGAAAATGTTCTTTTTATTCATGGAAGTTTGCTCAAATAAAATGTTCTTTCTTTCATTTGCTAGCTACAAAAAATCAATACATTCCATTACTGGTAGTATCTACTGGCCAAGCTGCTGCAAAGTTCACGGCAGGGCTCACAATATAGTTGATGCTGGCATTCCTGAACACGCAGCAACAGGATGCAGTGAAGCCGTGCATAATTCCATTGGTCCACGCCACTGCATCTTTGGAAAAATGATACACAAACACCATGTCATGCCTATCTGTCCCACATGATTGACTACTTCTACATTGATGGACCATTGATCCTTGCGACATTCACGCCTTGCCAACTCTTCGACTAAAGGCCACAATGATGCTGCCTTCTGGGGAGAAAGATTTGCTTGCCTTGGAAGGAGGTCAAAGCAAAGCTTTGAGGGATTCTGTTTGCAAACTGAACCAATGGCAAGCTACAAAGGGTCTCAAACTTGCAGGTATGCGGTCTCGACAGCCACCGGCGTACTAAACACGTTTGAATCGGCTCCGTGCAAAACTGAAGACAATGTACATAGATAAAATTAAAATAAGTTAAATACGTTTATATATCTATTTGTTGGTGTATTCTTTCATGTATTACTGTAATCAATTGCTTTTTGACGGACAGTCAGTATGTCCATCGGGTACAAGCGGAGTATCCAAAGTTCACAAACCCACACCCCCATGGCTGGGAAAATGAAGATGAAGCAAAACTTACTCTCTTCGAGTGATCCCCACCCTTACATACTATTCTGGCATAGTTTCTGACATACCATCTGGATCCATCTGGGAGTATTTATGGCATATATATATTCTGACATTCTATCTGACATTCTTTCTGGCATATACTCTGACATTCTGTATGACATTCTTTCTGGCATTCGATCTGACATCTATTCTGACATTCTGTATGACATTCTTTCTGGCATTCGATCTGACATCTATTCTGACATTCTTTCTGGCATTCTATCTGGCACCTGAGCTCGCAATATAGCGGTCGCAGGCACACTCCACAGCCTCCTGATCTCGTGATATTGTAGTCTGGTCCAGGCACACTCCACAGCCTCCTGATCTTGCGATATGGCACTCAGGTCGAGGTACACTCCACAGCATCCGCAGCTGGCGAGGAAGAAGAGGAGAGGAAGAACGAGAGAAAGAAGGAGAGGAAGGAGTTGCACCTTTGTCAAAATCTAGAGACCCTCACCTGGCAGATGGGGAACAAACGAAGTTGTGTTCTCGCGATCCCCAAGCCATGTCCAGAGCAAATAAGCTCCATCTTTGTATCTTCATGATACGTGGAGAGAAAGCGACTGTTTGGTGCTGCAGCATCTCTGGGCTTGCAAAATCATATCATTCCCAGATCACACAGATCACACAGTCTGGGCTGCTGAAAACCAAGACTTCAAATCTGTCAAGACACTCTGGGAAGTTTGGCTCGTTGAATCCCAGCAAGGCACGTTTCTCTCTGGGCAAGCCATCTTCAACAGCTCTGTCCAAGTGATTTGCACCAGCTCCCCATACCATTGGAATGAAGTTGATGCCATGTCCTTGCGGTGAAAAGCTGAACGGGCAAACTTTGTCAAATCTTTTTGGCTGATGGAGAAAGTGTGCTAGTATGAACCTGGCTTCTGGCTCGTTGTAACCCATACCGTACCATACTATTGCCAAGTTTTTCCAAGTTATGCAGTTGGAAGGGCTTGGCATTCCACAAATCCCAAGAAATCAATGTGTCCCCAACCAAACGTACTTCATCAAATCTCAACTTTTGGAAGGAAGAAATACTTACAGTAAAATGATTTAACATCATCATATGTCCAATGACAAGACCTGATCCCAAAAAAATCTGCCAAATGTTCTGAGGCTCGTTCCCACTCCTCCAAGCTGGGACCTCCTTGCCAATTGCTTGGCTTGTGATGCCACCTTACCAAGGGTCCAGCATGGTCCAGCATGGTCCAGCATGGTCCAGCATGGTCCAGCATGGTCCAGCATGGTCCAGCTAAACTGCATTGAGCCCTTGGGACTGCTTTTGTTAAGCTGGAGTTTAATTTGGATGCTATGTTGGTCCATGACGACAGCATTGACCCCGAGAGGACTGAAATGAACCACACCAGATCGAATTATTCGTGGGAGCTTGCAAGAAGATTCATTCTGTTACAACTACCCGCAGAACCAGAGTTTGCCCATGCTCACATAATCTCCGTTCTTGCCACGGTTTTAACACTTGTCTCATCCAATCCACAGGGATTCCTTCCATTTTCCATCATTTTTACCGATATTGGTTCCATAATGTCGCATTTTTCCCACAATATACCCTATGTTCAATCAATTCCATCAATACAAAAGGATCTAAATCTGCCACCCACTCCAAACAATACGTATACATGTCTTCTAATGATTATGTTGTATTCTATCTTATGAAAAATACAAGTGGTGCAAAAGGGCGGCTTTCTGCGAGAAAACCTAGGATTCGGGAGAACCAGAAATTTTCGCCAAGAACCCTTCCCTTCCACGACTTCGTGGGTGTTTGTTGAAAACTCGGGTCGTTTTACCCGAAAAAACATAGGCTCTGGGCAAACGTCCGGATCTGTGCGTTTGTGGGAGCTTGCAAGAAGATTCATTC